CGTTCCCGCCCGCACACTCGGCCTTGCACTGCGCAGGCGTACGTAGCCTCGGCTTATCACATATGCTCACGTTCCCGCCCTTGCGCCTGAAGCGGCACTGCGCACGCGCGCGCAGCTCCAGCTACCCACGTGCGCGCACTTTCCCGCCCTCACACCTGGCGTGGCACTGTGCTGACGCGCGCAGGCCGGGCTCCTCACAGACGCTCACGTTCCCGCCCTTGCACCTGAGGCGGCACTGCGCAGGCGCGCATCGCCCCAGCTCCCCACGTGCGCTGTTTCCCGCCTTCACTTCCGGCGCGGCACTTTGAGCAGCTCCCACAAGCAGCACCTTCAGCTTTGATCTCATTGGCGCCCGTCAAAGTGCAGTAGTTAGTTGCACAGAACTTCCGGGGTCCCATCAGTAAAGACCTGGTGGTCCCATTATTCTCATTCCCAGTTGCAAAATGTACTCTTAAACACCTCCCAGCTTGCGCTCTTGGAACCAGCTGGCACCCAGTTAAAGCTCACACCTCAGCACGACCCACCTAAGAATGGTTTTGCTGCAGGCACAACAGAAAGGCAAAGGTTGCATCCTCACCAGCATGCACAGGGCTGTGTGCACAGTAGCAGCCAGGGAAAGGCTGGGGTAGACCAGACGGTTTAGTCAACATTGCCCAGCTCTGAAATTCTAGTATGTGGCTTCACACACGAATTAGTTAAGAGTGGACTAGAAGCTTTGCCAAACGCCAGTGTTGAGGAAATTTATATTATTCACTTTTCTCAGAAATGGCAGTATAAACTTACTGAGGACGCTTAGACTGACCAGGGTAAAATTTCTAGATACTGCCACATATATAAACTTTTATATATATGTAAACAATTTACATATATATTCACTTACATAGCTTTAAATCCATATAACTTAGGCATCTCAAAATCACTTTTGCACAGCACATTTCACCCAAATGCATTGACTACAGTCCTTACGGGCTCTTTATTAAGTGACTACTGCACAGGCTACTGTAAACATGCATGTGAAAATCTGAATTTCCATGAAAAAATGTTCATCAAATCACCTTATTATCAAAACTAAACTTATTTTTTTCTGCAAGAAAGGTTCAAAAAAATGTCATGGCAACTATCAATTTATCTGAAAAAAGTCAAGAATTCCTAGGGCAATTCCATTCCAATCTATAAAATGTCACAAAAAAGAAGAATTAAGTACAGTCCACATTCAAAGCTATAAATTATTTCCAAATATCAACAGCCATTTATTTTGTGCATCTTGTAATTCATGTATGGGGTATATCCACGTTATCAGTTAACAGTCAACTGTTTTAATAGAACACACAGGAAACAAAGTAGAACCCAAAAGTTCAAGTTTGCTGTAATGAAGACATGAATAACAGATATATGAACATAGAAACAAAAACTGTAGTCAGAATAACAGCACTTCAGAAGAAAATCTAAAGCAAAAAATAAAATACAGGTCTTTATTTTACAATATGTATAATTATATAATTTATTAAAATTAATTTAACACAATGTACAAAATATTAACAGTAGTCATTTTTAGGTTCTTCAACTACAGAAAAGTTGAGGTGGCGACTCTACTGTGCAACTTTTGCTTGAGTGCACCTAGCTCACCAACTCTGGCTGCACATTCACCCTCTGAAGAACTTCTTCAGGCATGCAAAACACAGGACTCACAGGCTTAATCTGTTCTTCGCCTAATAGTGACAATCCAGCAATCCCGAATAATGTATGAAAAGGATCCACCTGTTAAAAAAAAAAAAAAAAAAAGACCATATAGACTACTACAAAATGAAAGCTTCTAAAAACACCCTATAAATATTTTTATTGGAGTCACTGTGTATGTGCTTAAGTTTCCTGAAATAGCAACAGTTGATGAAAAATTTATGTATGCTTACTCTGTAGCCCTCATACATTTTAAAATGTTATTTAAAAAATACTGCTTTATCAATACTTGGAATACCACCCAGTTATAGACCTGAAAATCCCTAGAACCATGATAATGCAGCATTGAAAAAGTAACTTACATCAACATCTCAGATATATACTTACCATATCTCCTGGTCTATCTGCAAATCCTCCCGTTTCTTCATCTTGACACGCTAAGATGAAACTACGAAGTTTCTCTCTATCAATCCAGTGAAGTCTTCCAATTATCTTCAGTGAAGCCAACACCCACCATGAATAGCATACATCTGGTAACTGGGAGGAAAAAAAGGCCACAATTTCCTTTTACCTCCCTAGTTTTGAGAACAACTTAACAGTGCATTAAATCACACTCCTAAGTAATCTGCTGCTCAAACAGCAGGAGACGGGAAAGCAAGGAATATTCTGACACGCGGTGTTTGAAACCCTTGGCTTAAAGATAATCAACAAGTAAGACCAAACTCCAACCCACAGGCATCCAGACTACATTTCAGTACTCAACGGCAAGCATCCTTTATTTCTACCTACCTCTTCTTAACTACAGCGAGTGCCTCATCCAGCTCCTTCACCAGGAAGCTGGCGGTGAAGGCTCATGACATCCGAGGGGGCAGGTTCCATTATCTAGGTAGAGCACTTCCAACAAGCACTGTCCAAGCAGATACACATCTGCTTAAAAACCACCTGAGCCTGAGCCCGCGGGTTTGAGACCCGCCTGGGCAACTTGGCGAGACCTCATCTCTACAATAAATAAAAAATGAGCCGGGCGTGGTAGCACATGCCTGTAGTTTCAGCTACTTGGAGGGCTGAGGCGGAAGGATCGCCGGAGCCCAGCAGGGCGAGGCTGCGGTGACCGGGAGCGGCCACTGCACTCCAGTCTGGGTGACAGAGTGAGACTCCAACTCAAAAGAAAAAAAAAAAGAGAAGGAAAAAAAAAAAACCACCTGAAGCCTGGCTCTTCAAAATGTGGTCCAAGTCGAAGAAATGCAGACCAAATAAGAACCTGCATTTTAATGATGTTCCTGAATGATTCACAGTGACATCAACAGCTGCCCTAGACTATACAAACAAGTGCAGGCTGCTGGTGCTCCTGCACCAGCATGTTCTGTTGCCAGTTCTCTGGGTTTCTTATGAGACTCCATTCTAGATACCAACTGTGGGCATTTGCCTACCCATTAAGTTATTCAGAAACAGAGCAAGCACATTTATGAACTACAAATGTGTCTATTAACAGTAATTTTACCTGGAACACAGCCATACTCATTCCTTTCTCACTGTCTATGGCTGCATTTGCTAGTCAGGGCAACTATAAAGTTGCATAACTACACATGTCCTGCAAGATAAGTACTTGCCATTCGTCCACCTGATTTTGATGGCGTATAACGTGGAGAAAAATTTTAAGAACTCTCCTTCTAAATCAAAGTGTATGGAATTTCCTTAAAGTTAGATTTCAAACAAAAATCCCATAGTCTAATTTTTTACAAATCTCAGTAATCTGGCAAAATCACTGATCCCTCTATACGCATAGACAGACATGGAGATTCCTGTCCAAGAGTGTCTGGAAATGACTCCAGGACCAATGAGCACTTCAACTGGAGGGGCTCCTACTTCTGCCAAGGGCACTCTTTTTAGAAAGGATCACAGAAAAATTACACAGGAAGAGGGCAAAAAAACCCCTATGGCCAAGTTACAATACTGGAAGAGCAGGACAAAACAGCATTCACTCAAGTTTGGAAGCTAGAGGACACAAGCTAGTGAAACAATACCTTCTCTGGTCGTCCATTGAGTCCACCTGAGGGCAACTGTCGTTCACAAAGCCACCAACCAAGTAAATCAGAATTTACTTGATGCAACTGACTAGTAATAGCCAGGAATCCTGTGCAACAATAGATCTAAAATTACAGACATAAAGTATATGTGTATAGTAATTTCTTGACAGTAAAAGTGAAAAAAACTACAAGCTAGTAAAACTCCATTTTATATCTTAAATTTTTCTTAGAGATCTGACAATTTCAAACACATAGTATCACATAATTATCTGAACTAATCCCAGCACACTATTGCCAAAATCCAACTCTGCATTGAAACAGTACTGTCAAAATTTGCCACAGCTAAGTATCTCACAAGTATATATATATGACATTCTCTGGCTAGCAAATAGACACTCATTTATTTAGCTCAGGTGGGGGTACAAAGTTTCCATCAAGTGAATTAAGTTAATGGAAAAGGAAAACATTTTGCGCTTAAGAACCTACTTATGTCTGCTTGGGTCAGAGGGATTCTGACTAATGTATATAGCAAACTATTGTAAAAATGCCTTCCTCAATTAGCAATTAATCAATGTTTATGCAATTTCCCACGTCAGAGTCCACTTAATATTTAACACAAGCCGGGCTCGATGGCTCAGTCTATAATCCCATGCCTTTGAGAGGCTGAGGTGAGTGGATTGCCCGAGCCTGCGGGTTCAAGACCCGCCTGGGCAGGCAAGACCTCATCTCTACAATAAAATCAA